TAAAGAATTGGTGTACTGACAATAATGCCTGTCTCATAATGAAGCACTTTCTGTGTTCAGTTGGCTTAAATAAAGAAATAAAATCACGGCCGACAAAAAGTAATATTTAAAGTAGCACGAATAGAAAGAATATATCTGACTTGGACACACCTTATCTTACACGCCTTCAATACAAGCACCGACGATGATGGTTATCAAGGTGAAGATAACCTATTTACGTTTTCCCATTGAGACAGAGTTAAAACGTGTGCTTATCTTTATCGCTGTGCGATATTAACTTTAATTATAAAAAATGTTGTCTTATATTCGTTTTTCAGTGCACTTTGTGGGCCATAGCCAAGACATTTAGATCTTTAATATTAACAGGAACGCAATATAAGTTACCATTAATTATACAAACCGTCTGACATCTTTGTATGCTAAAAATAAAATCAGATTTTCTACAGAACAAGAAAAACAGAGAAGAATGCTTCTTCTTCGTTTGTGTTAGGAACGAAATTACATACGTATATGTATTATACATATTACATAATTTACAATTTAATTGTCATTATATTTTGTATAACACAACTTGATGAGAAAGCATTCTGCTCATATTTCGTATATCGTAAAACACTTCGGCGTACACATGCAATATAATTAAAACATTTCAATTAAACTCTAATATTTATCTTGTTTGCATTTAAATAAGCTCATACATTTGCGTACATCTTATAAGACAGCAAGATCATGCATCTGAATGCGTAGTTAAAGTTTAGGAGGAATTGTGTTTTGTTAGTTGCTTCGTACATTTAAACTACAGTCACTTTACCCATATGTAATAAACTGGACAGAAGTATTACGTACATAACGAAGCAAGTTAACATTAAGTCAGTGTTTAGAATCAGGTCCTTAATTTACATTAATAGCATGTGGAAGAAGAGACGTTAAGACATGCTACATGAAACAACACTCAACAGAGCAGAAGTATAAAGAAATCATTTAAAAATAAATGTAGTTTTCAGGAGTAAATAGTGAACACACAACAGAAATCGAAATTAAATCTATCTTACATTGGTCTTGGAAAATTAACTACGTGATATTAAGGAATATCAAAGTAAAGTACAATATAAATCCAAACTCCTGTCATGTTAAATACAAAGTTCGAACAAATAAAATTCTGATAATTAAACGTGCAAATACTATATTAGTTTAATAAACGTAGACAGTGACATATGACGATCCAAGTAATGGCCAACTGAGGTAAAGAATACAATTTATAATTATTTTAATACTGAATTTAACCTATGGAAAGCCATACATATGCATCTCTATATGCCGACAAACTTACAGATCACAAAAGTTGTTAAAGTACACGATGCAAATAATATGCGTTATCAACATGCAAAATAGACACATATTTGACACTTGTGTGGAATCCTTACGCTAATGCATGACATGTGGGCCGATGAGATGCAGAACCACTATTAATGCCACATTAATGCTATTATCTAGAACGCTTTTATGTATGGATCCCGCCACAATCATATTGATTATGTGTCAGTATCTTAAAATAATTCGCTCAGAAGAAGAACTTAAGTTTCCATCCACACAATTCTTACTGATAGCTCAGAACAGTAACAGCTCACAATTTACAAGTTATATTACCATTTTGTGGCATAAAATAAATGACATAGGCAAAGGATGATAGTGAGTAAGGAAAAATTCTTCATGCAGTAGCAACAAATTTAAATGTAAAAAGCATTTCAGGCAACTATATTGCAGGTAGCACTTCTAAGAGTTTTTGTAAATTTCTAATCCTTTTATAGAGTCGTGTTTCGAAACGTCCGCTAAATATAATACGGATGCATGTTAATTAGAAATGCCACCTAAATACAGATAATAAATTAAACCTATCTTGTTCAAAACATTATTTTACGTGCGGTAACATAGCATATGGTCAGGATATCAACAATACCTTGAGCACCTGTGAGAGGGGATGCCGGAAAAAAGAGAGAGAAAACAAACCACACTTAGTAATACTAATCATTAACAACAACATCAACAACAACAACAACACCACCATCAACAAAGATAGCAACAATTACATCTGGCACCATTACGTAAGGAGTGATTAAGTAGCAGATACAATAAACACAGTGGTAGGTCGACGACAGCGGTCGACACAAACAGGGATCAGAAACACCAGTAAAAGAAAATTAGTCGTTACTTTTACCCAAGTATGTAAAAGCGAGTAATTAGATAAATTATTTTTCTAAATTTTAAACTTTTCGGATTCAACATTGTTCATCTTCTTTCGTAATTGTACTTAACGGCTAGATTTATATCTCATTACTCTATGAGACATATAGTACGACCCTATGTGGCTGGAAGGATCGACCAAACTGTCGATAACTCGAGTGGGATTCGAACCCGTGTTTCCAATTTCCCAAGGAACAAAATCGATAATGCTTAAATCATGCTGACAATATCATCGACTGTATTTTTAATAATTAACATACGTTGTAACTATTCTTTATTCGGGAAAAGAACATTTGAACATTCTTTTATACACCTCTAATCAAAATCTCAAACGAAAGAAATACAAACTTCAGTATCCTGTTAAATTTGACCCAACCTGAGCTACAACGTACAACAACGGTCTTTTCATGCATTGGTTATGCCAGTATTCAAATACAGAGGCCAGTTTTATAGGATTATTATGAATCAGTTCATAGCTGTCAATAAGCTACGGAACTGTTTCAGGAATTTCCATTCATAATCACGTGAAAACCATGGGACTCTTAATAACTGAGCTAATGTTCCTGTTTATCATCATCACGACAGCTTTACACACTAGGGCCACCTGGTGTTAACATCATAAACAGCATGAAGGGGATGGGTGTATAACACATGAAAAAGTTCTGCGTTTCAAAAAGTAAAACACCACAATCCTTGGTTAATAAACAATACGGGTCAAAATTTAGGAACAACAAAAACTTAAAGATTTTGATCAAGAGATTAATCTACAATTATCTGCATGAATATGGTTTAACAGTTATAGGCCTAGAGGACAATGTCTTCTGAGACTGCATCTCTTATAAAGATATTTGTAAAGACGAGTTTGAAATGTTAACTTGGTAATTGGATTATGTATTTTATGCATTCCATTAACAGCCCCCATTTACGAAAGTTCATTATACGCCTCTGGAATACATATTTATGAGGCGACGTTTCAAATAACACCAAAATATTTTGAGGAATAAGCATTAATAGTTAGTGAATGAAGTTGTCAAGAATATGGCCGGTACGTGATCTTAACACTTCAGATTTGTAAGATTAATACATAATTACATCACAATATACACCCATGGTTCCACAATTCTGTCCCAATCTGTACTATATTAAAGTGTGGGCGATGAATAGAAGAATACTTGGAAAGACGAGAACAGGTAGTATATCAGGTTCACAGAGGCATTGTTGTTCCACGTAACATTGAAAAACATCCCATCACACGCACATTTATTTGTAATGAATGGCTAATTTTAAATGGTGGTAACTGGACGAGCGGAGGGAATACATATACACGTACTCTGCAACAAGATCGATATATCGACAGACGTATGCGTGGAAACAAATGACGCACGTAAGTTAATTATTATGCTCTCTGATGTCATCTGGTGTTTCGATGCGCGAAGAACACAGCTGTTTTTATGCGCGAAATGCTTCGCAAAATATGATATCCTCTGAAAGATAAACATATTTGTGTTTATAATATAGATATTTTTATAACAGACCAATGAACGATAAATATAATACAAAATTAAATGTATTAACATGTGTTACAGACGACATTTCGCTACGAATATTATCTGTGGTGTGATTAAAACGATTGGATTTAATCGCGCCAATAAAGCGTATCTATCTGCTTCATTAAACATTTTCCTTTAAATGGATGAAAGGACAAACAGGCCTATGTACATGTGTGTGTGTGTTTACTTATGAGCAGACTCTGACAACAGTCTCGTTCCTGTAACCTTATTATACTAAAAGGTTGCAGAAAATGGTTCACACCTGAAAGCAGCTCGTTGATGGGTGTAGTGCCATATAGACGTTCACTGAACCGATACGAATCATCTAAGTTTTATATTTTTTAAAACATACCTGAACATAAAAATGAAAATTTCACCTGACAAGCGGGACGAGCCGGTTTCCAACCCAAGACACCAGTGTTTGATTTAAAATTGTTCCTTCCTCGGGGCTACAAACTCCTCAACTGGTAAAAAAGTACAAATATGCAAAAGAGTTCGGAGAGGTACCCATATTTTGCAAATACATTCTTTGATACTTTATAGGTCTACGTTATTAACCTTGATCTTAATTTATTTTATAGATGAACCTAGTACAGTAAAAATAGTCGTACTATATATGCAACACAGAGACAATAACTATCTTCCTTTACATTTATTTCGAAATTTAACATATCGCAAAAACGTTTAAAACAAGTGTAATAAACCCTAATTAAATATGTATTTTACATTACGTAGGTCTCATTAATATACTGTACCACAAACAGATATATTAATTGGGGTGTGATCTGAGGCTTTCACGGCAACGAAGTATAATAAATTCTTGTCGGGCTACCAGCCATATAAGGTGGCTAAATGAAGAAAACACCGTTTCGAGAACCATCTTCGTCCTCGTCCTCAGGGTACTGTACTCTACCTTACACGGCTGGTAGCCCGAGGAGAATTTATTGTGTAAGTGTTGCATTTGGCCAGCACTAACGAAAATTAAATTTACCTAATAAATTTCAGCAAATACTCTCAAATATCAAACTGAATCTAAATACGTCAAGACAGTTCAGTAGTTAAAAATAGTTTTAGACGAACTGACATAATCTACTATATGGGTGTAATGGAACTGAAGGTCACATTCGTCGTTAAACATTCACATCAAAATTTAATCCTGATCTCTTCTTTGAAAGTGAAGTAAAGAGGTCAGTATAACTCCCATTCATTCTTAACCTCGGCACTAGACAGGGGTGAGTGATAAGAGTCACGCCCCGGCCGCACATTACCCCCCGGGGAAAGGACCACAATACCCATCGGACAAGCGGCTGAGTGGGCCCCAGAATATGTACATGATTTAATTTCCCACATCTCATGAAATATTTGAACTGTCCACAAAGCTACACTGGACAACGGCACGTAGGAATATACATGGAACCAGAACTCATCAAGCTTATTTGATGAGGAAACGAGGACTGGCGAACGAGACACATCAGATGCGCGTCTGCAATAAAGAACCATCACTCATCCCGGCGTCTGCAACTGTTTGCCACTGGTTTCATTATTATCTTGCAAACATAACATGCTACTGACGTCTTCATTTCGGGTCCAACCTACATTATTACAGATCAACTGAACTAGCAAATATTTTCTGTGGCAGGTAATCTCCAAGAATTGAATGTTGTGGTAGGTTGTTCTGTTATATTACAGTATGTATTAAATGCTGACGTACTGTATCGTCCAATCACTATTCAGTTTAAATAAATTTAAATGTTGGTATGGAACATGAAATATGGGAGTGATTGGAATTCGATTCAACATATATTCCGGTATTCTCCGGGAAGGATTGGAAAAACCACGAAACGCATTAGTCAAGACAGTAGTTCCCAGCCGAGAACTGCACCGAGAACCTCCTCAGTACGATAAAGGCAACTCAGAACCAAACACTGAAGATTATTCTTTGTCGGCTGAGTTATGATTGGTCCATTATGGTAAAAACCTGCAATTTATGCTTAAAGCAGATGAACAAAATACGACACACCATTATGGAGTCTGCAAAATATGCAAAGGACCAAAATATGAAGGTAATAAAAATATCATACATAAACTCTCGTGACAGGGGCAATCGCTTTCACGTGAACAACTTTTAAGCTAAAATAATAAAACAGTTTTGTTAATAAAATTAATGCTGATGTTAGTTAAGAGTTGTGATCTCAGTTCTGTTCATTAATGTTATTTTAGTACTACAACAATAATAAACGACTATTTTAATTCAAAAAAAAGAAAAGGATTTCAGTAGAATATGGCAATTTGGTACATTGGCTTATTTTCTGCACAGACGTAAAGTATAGATGTAACTCACGTAATTTATTTTGAAGTATTCTAAATAGTATACCAGCGAATACAGGATACTCCACATCCTAATCTTAAACTGATATGCAAACGGCTGTAGTATTATCAGCCACATGAACTCTACTCAGAAACGTTAATTTCGCTACAAACACGGAATATGTCCACAGAAGATATGGGGCCGAGTTCCTCCTGCCTGACCATTTTTCACTCTACAGAAATCAACCTAATTACATTTAGCAGAATTCATTCGTAAAGTTAATGTTTAAGATCATTAAGAAATCCCAAGCCGTTTATAAAACCGGCAGGTTCATTATCGTGTTCAGAAGAGCCTGCCACTGGTCCATTACCTATTATCCTGTTTACCTCTCTTACCGTGTTCTAACAGCAACTTTAATATTATACCTCCATATAGGTCAATGTACTTATATGTGCACTGCGGTGTTCACAAAAGCCCGCCAAAAACGTCATTTACCAATTTAAAATTGTATTAAACAATTTTTATTAGGTTTTAGAAACTAAAGTTTCATACATTTTGAAATTTTACACTTTCTGACTTGTTGATAACATACAATTTACACTTTAATGTTTATTCGCTCAGGTCTGTACCTTGTGCCACAATATTCAAGAGTAATCTATGCAGATCTTTAACATACGCGATTTTACAAATCAATCTTGTTCAGAGTTCGTTTTATACAGTCATAACAAAATACTATTACTATTACTATATTAAAATCTAAGGCATGAGAAAGATAGACAATCTTCCCCTATACTGAGTACTTGCCCAGTAGTATTTATTGCACTTTTATACCTGTACGGTATATTAGAAGTATTCACAACTTGTTCTTGGTAAATTTCGAATTGTCATGTTTCACTCCAAGCACGAGGACTATACAGTGTCGTAATCATAAATATGACGACTGAAATTATCGTCTGTAACAGCTGCTAAAAATAATGACAATAAAATAATTCCATTAACTTATTTCTGTTCTTGTAAACAGCCAAACAATGTCAATTACAACAACCAATCTCTAAAAGCAACAAAACAACAGAAAATAATATATAGAAAGTAAACGGTACAGAAGTCTACAGATGACGTAAGAGACAAAAACATAACATAAAGAAGGGGATCCAAATTTAAAATATGAAACCTTGAGTATGGACAGCGAGAAGATACAAGGAAACTCAGTTCTGTTAAAGAAGTTCCATAACAATGTAAGTGTCCTTGCAAATAGCAACAGAAACACACCTAGGTGAAGAACTCACATTAAAATTACGATTTATCACAAGGGAAGAGTAGCTTGTAATTAATTGTATGTTTGGGACTGTCAGCTTGACAACCACGTGTGGCAAGTAGTGTTGGCGCTTACCAGTTCGGAGACGAGCGGTATAGACTTCCTCCTGGGTCGAATGTCCGGCATGCTGTCGATGTTGCTGTAGAAGGAGGGATTGTCTCCAGCATGCCTGCAACATGAGAGTGTTGCTTAAATATTACTGGCGTATTAAACATTGGAAATGACAAATTTTGGCCCTCTTTGAGACGATAATAATCGATCAGCTAACTTTCATGGAATCCTACAGTTCATTATCGTGTTTACAAGAGCCAGATGAATCCAGTCCCGAGTGGGCTTTTCTTTACAGTTTCCCGGCCAACATTTTATATGCACATTGCTTATCTCTCTCTCCTGTGCTAGTGTATGACATAGGCCTAATAATTACATGTTAAACATGGCGACGGTACAAACTTCGAGGCAAATGGCGATCACGGTTTTAGGTGCTGGACGGTGTGGAAGTGGACTGTGTAGCCGACGATTCAGGAGAACATACTGTCATCATCCTCAGGGCTGAGGATCAGGAGTAAATGGTTCATACGGGAACAGGAGATGAATCAGGTCACCGGCGAATGGCCAATGTGAGCTATGCGATGGGGAAGGAGATGACTCTTCTGCCAGCAAATATAGATGTCCCTTCGTTTTTGTCGAAAAACGTAGACACACGTATTGAAGAAGTACAAAAAAGGCGTAATTAATGGAGAAACGCCACAAATCGATACGGACAAATACAAGCAGATTACGAACGACTGAAATTGTGAAGCTAGCCGAACGCTTACAACATTTCAGTTCTAGATTTTTGCTACGCAGTGTTTACGACCGTTTTGAAACTCTGCTGGAGTATCACGTTTATCTGTCAGACGGGCCGCATATTTGCATGACGATGCTCTGGACAAACGAATTTCGCTGATGTTTCGTCCTGCCATCATTTATTTTATTGTACTCTATGCCAAATAAAATAATTGGGGTCCAAAGCAAACAATATAAACGATTACTGAATAATATAGCGTGAGAATATTGTGAGAAATCAGCAATAACTTCTACTTGTTAACTTGATACAGAGCATGATGTAATTATTTATGTATTTGTTTATATGTCTAATTCATATTTGTAAGAAAATAAGACCTCTAAGAAATTCTAATACAAGAACGGTCTATAATAACTAATACATTAACTGTGTCGCCTAATTATATTGTTTTATAATTATAAATGGAAGTTCTTTTGAGCCTTTGTTTTATTTTATTGAACATATTTCGGTTTTAATCTTTCTACAGATAAACTAATTTTAATAAACGGATCCCATTCCCTTCAGTGTCCATCCTCAATTGGCTATTTCAGTGGCTTCAAAGCAATCTATCGCTGCCAACCAGATTGTAATTTCGTTGTCAATGAGATAAAGAGAGAGAGGTAACAAATGCTTATAATAGGTGTGCTATAGAATCAATAATGCCTCCCGATCTATCATATGGACTTTATTTATAACATGATAATTATGAAAGAAAAAATGTTTGATTTCTGTACCTCCAGAAGTAATAGTAGAATGTTACTTGAAAACATTTCGTCATTTCGTTTTAAGGAAACGTTGTATATAACTTATAAATACATTAGACCGCTTGAAAACGTCAACATTATTCAACATGAAGGAAGTTATGTAAGATTATTACCATCACGTTAATTTGAGAAAGAGAATAGATTCTGAATACTTTTAAAAATATCGTAGAGCTGTGTTTAATTATATCAAATATCACAATTTATAAACATAGACTACAGAATCAAAGTATTATTTTCATTTTTGTGTATTATAGCTCATATCAGACAGCGTTACGTCAAACTGTCTTTGGTATGCAGTCTGGCAAACTGTAATGCTCAGAATATAAACTTATATGTTTTCTCAGAGATAGCGTATAGAGGATAGTGATCGTAAGTTATTTATATTGCAGAAACTGACGTTATGACTGCCTGGAAAAAAAATTTCATTTTACCTCCTTAAACAGAAAATTTTATATGTAAACTTAAATCAATTCTAAAGAAGTCTCTGTTCGATTAGGTGAGGTACGTGAAAGCAAACTGTATTTATATTTTGACAACATACACACAATACGTGTACGCAAGTCTCATTATAAATTTTCTGCATTCAATTTTTACTGTCATAAATAAATTTTACATAAGCAGTTTTAAAAGATAAACTAGAAAATGTAACAGGAAATTGAGATCTACGATTCTCACGGCGGTGAAAATATCCATCTTCGTCTCGTGGGTGGGCTTGTAGGTAGTTATCAACGTTGATTAAATAAACAAAAATACATGATTTCGTTTTTAGAAACTGTGCATTAATAGTGGTATTGCACAATTTATGTCAGACGATTAAAAATGTGATGTACACTCGAATACAAAGTTGTGAAGATTATATATTTTACTTCAAAATGTCAACACTGAGATAACTACATTGTTAAAATTACTTACACATTGTTAATAAAATTCATCATTTGGTTCTAGACTTCATTACTATTCTTATTCTTGAGAAACCGTTCTATGCACAATATTACAATTTCACTAGTCTTTAAAGGAAATATATCCGCAGTCACTCGGGCGAGGCCTGTCTAACAGTGCACGTAAGAATGCGAGAATGGATTTTCCTGGGGTCTGCAGTGGCCACGCGGTCTGAGGCGTAGGCCTTGTGCCGCTTGGTCGCTGGGACCGTGGGTTCGAATCCCACTCAAGCCATGGATGTTTGTCCGCGTTTTTCTGTGTCGTGCTGTCCTGGATACAGGTAGAGGCCTTGCGACGGGCCGATCCCTCGTCCAAGAAGTCCTACCGAATGTCTATAGATAAAGCCAACGAAAAGTTGGGACCCGCAGTGCTCAGGCACTTGAAGAACGGGTCGTTCCCAGTATCCCAGTATGGATTTTCCTAATTGTTTATTTTAATGCAAACCAATAAAAATTACTGTACACAGCGTCTGCAACGGCCCAGTTGAAACTGAACATCACTTCAATAGTTATTGAATGAAACAGATCTCCGCATAATACATTATTCAAACTTACCCATTCCCACGCCCTCCACTTTCGCCTCCTGTACCTCCGCCATTCTAAAAAATAAACAGAAAGAAATAATAAATTAATAAAAATCTATTTAAAATTTTAAAAATACAAATACAGGTTTTCAGTAATAAATAAAATAGCAAGTAAACAACAAAATATTTTAAGCATATCAACATAATTAGTCCATATTATTGAAATGTAACATACTTAAAAATGCTAAGTAAAAGATTAGAAAAGTCAGGAACCATATGTTTTAGACCGATATCTGAGTTACGTGGCTAAAGTTTTGTATAACTGACACTAGAGGAGTAAAGCGCTTGGAATAATATTAGGCTTACTAAAGCTCGATGAGTAACTTCATAATGCCTGACTTTCCTATCTCTTCGTACACCATCTCTTGGTAAAATATGTGTTGCAACGTCTTAACATACATTATGATTACAAATATGCACATAAATAAATTACGCCAATGACAAATTACTGATATACATATAAATAAAGTTAACAGATACAGTTATGATATGTATGTGATACAAGACACAAGAGAACACAGCTTGTGTCTAGTGTATTTTAAATACGAAACTACACATAGAAGGTGCAATTTACCAAACTTACAGAAAACTACAACAGTTCGAGTTATGTCAAAATGAAAGAGCGTATAATCAATACTAATCTCAAATTGTATAAAACAGTTCATTTGTGGAATATATTAGGAAGACATGACGTTATGAAAAAGTATGAGTATCTTACCCTAACGCAGTCCACAAAATGTGCAATATTAAATATACTATGAAATAAAGCCAGTTACACTAGCATAACCGTTACTTTCGACAATTATTGATTTGTGCACCTAAAATCACACCAGCCCCGAACCATTATAATCACAGGCACAGTATTAGAAAACTAGCAGATGTAAAATTATGCCTTTTCCAATTGTTTTCAAACCTCAATGTAATGAGAGAAATTTTCATGATTGAAGTTTTAAGATTTAATATTTTCTTGTCTATGTTGTCCAAAATCATGACAGTAAAAAAGTCTTTGCTACTATTACGTGGATTTCGACACTACAGAAAGTAACAAATTATGAGCCCAGAAATAAAACGGTTCGGGAAACTGATTTTACACACAAGTAATTCAATTATAATACATTTGAAAATAAGACTAATCCTTAGTAGTCTAATAGGAAGACTATGAAATGTAATTGGAGGAAGAAAATTTGTACTTATGTTTCGGGAACAGTACTGAAACAGACGTTAGAAGTATACATTGTAGTGTCTTGAAATGTAATATTCAGGATGTTAAAACAAAGAAGCTTGTCAACGAAGCAAGCTATACAAAAATGAATATAACACGAGTTTTACAGCATGAAATAAGCAGATTTAACTGAGTACAAACTAAAGGGTTTGTCGTAACATTTCAATAAACTTGCAAGCGACTATTTCGAGCACAGCCACAATTTAAAACGTTTCAGGAAATTATACAGCTACTATTTACACTTACATATACATATTTTTACCTTTCCTAATGCAGCATGAAATTCTTATAAAGTCTAATAATTAAAGAAATGAAATAATTCACGTATTTAAAATAATAAAAAACACTGATCTAGAATTAAAGTGCACCACATACAAAATGATAAAGCAGAAAGGGCTAGTCCATAAAATGCTTTAGTATATATCGCATTAGGATATTTTATACTCTCTGCACTATTTAATCATTAAGAAACAATAATTTCCGTAGTAGAAAATAAATGTATATAGTATATATTCGTACAATGAATGAGTGTCTGAAATGTTTTAAGTAGATTTTAAACTTGTCGAACTATCCTCCGGTTAATTTTCGTTAAGTGGTTCTTGTTGTTGGTATCCGTTTCAAAGAATAAACGAAGACTTGAATAAATGCATAATTCTCATCATGGGACCAAATAAATTAAGACATTTACTGCAGTAGACGAACAGTTGCATTTTATAACGTTCCTTACGAAGTCAAACGACTCATAAAATAAAGCAGAATTATGTAATTAAAACACACAATAGACACAGGTTTTAGCATTACAGTACATTATTGTGATTATTTCTTTATGATAAACTCCTCGCACATTCTCAATCAGTTCTAAGACACGAAGTTCAGACTAAAATAAGTAAACCAAAGATATCGACACTAAAGATTTAATTCTGTTATTTCTTTGGCTAGAAATAATTTGTGTTCAAGATATTATATGTGGTACTACTACACACCATTGCAATTCGGCCTACAACAGTGGAATATCTAATGTAAGCAGTGACAAGGCGCAAATTTAGCTGCTCTGCGTTCCACCTTAACTATTTTCGTGCCTAACGAAGAAGTGAACATAAATATTTTATAGGACACTCATTTTAAATACAAGTAACATTGTTTATTGCTCCTTTGGTTGTACTGCATAAGTATCTACATCAACGTCACAGCGGGCTAGTACACACAAGATTCGTTACACATAAATACTACACACTTCATTAGTTGTACCCATGCCTGGTATTATAAGTACACATCTATATTTAGAATTAGTTTGGCGATATAATTTATAGGAAATGTGCGTCAGTTGTAAATAAATCAAAACAATAGTTATTTTATTATTAAAATATGAATTTCCACATGTATATTACAATTAATTTGACATAAGAAACAAAATCCATTTCTTTCATCACGTTCACTTTGAGTTATATTTGGACCCGAAAATAGAATAACAGATAATGAATTATAATGAATTACAGTGCAAACAGGTCCACTGGAACATATCGCCGTACGGCATAAACTTCAAAACTTTAGTGTATACAATCACAGTTACACAGATGGATTGGTTAAGCTACAATTTTTACACCGACTGCATCAGAAGACAGATGGACAATCGACTGGGTAGACGGGAGTGCCTTTTTTTAAAACTCAGATTATATGAAACTTAGTATGTACAAATGCAATCAGTGTAAGAAAACGAGGTACTATGGATGGATATATGAGTTGGGTTGAAAAGTGGTGACGTAGAACCCTGACAAACTCAAGAATTGTGCTTCACATGAAAATTGTGTCAATAAGCTGTGCCCACGAGTTTGACAAAAGAGCATTTTTCGTAACAGTCATACACGTGTTGCGAACAGAGAAAATATCTATGATACTATAAGAACAGCTTTAGCGAATCTCGCAACACATCTCTACTCAGTGCATGGTATAGTCTATCTAGTAGTCGTGAATAACTACAAGAGTTGTGCATTCAATTCACTTTAATCGATGCAGACACCTTTATACCAATAATGTTTTTTTCCAGAGAACAATAATTGTTGCAGATAAGATATGTTCAAAATCCACTATAATCTGGACATAATCAATTATAAGACTACTAATTTCAAAAAAACTTCAACGTTTCCTAGGATTACAAAAACAATTGTCCTACCCCATTCGATACATTTTACATTATACCGTATCTTGCTATTATTTCATTTACGTTTAAGCCAAAATTTTAATCTGCCTGTTCGATGTATTTCCGTACAAATACCGAAACATTTGTAGAACACCCACGTGCTGATTGTTACTAAGTAGTTATTCAATGAACAGTTCCACGTTTCTGTACGCTTGTCCACCTGTAACTGCGTCATCTGTGTTTGCATGCTGCCCGAGTAACACCATTTCACTGAACTGATATTGTTGATCTCATGCTAATTTAAGTGAGGCATTTTTAATAATTCTCACCACATGGAGTCATCATTATTTACCTATCCGTTGCCTTCAGGGGATATTTTTCTTCATTACGCAAATATGCTTTATTTGATCCATTAAACGGCACTTCAAAAGTAAAATGGAATTAATACCACAGAATATAATACATATTTTTACAGCTGCGTACTATGTACCAAACAAATTATGTTCCTTTAGGAAAAAGTGTGAATCGTGCGTCATAAGCCTTACCTACCTACCCAGAGCTAATCCAAATGTCTCTTATTGTATATCAGCTATCTGGTACTGGCTCTAAGTCCTAATTAAATAACATTATTTCTAGGATGCAACGATCGTAGCATGTGCAGTAGGAGTCAAAATTAATTTGGGTTAAATGCCGGAAGAAGTAAAACATTTGTGATCGAGAAGTATAATTAATATGCAAGGAAAGGTCAGTGTTGTATGAGTCATAAAACAGTACCATTAAAATTACACGTTTCCCAACAGAAGCGTTATACAAACAGAGAACGAAGACCTCGTGTAAACTTGGTTGCGAGTTCATCAAACGCTACTTAGCTCACTGAATTTACATACCGTTGTCATGTTTGCTCTTGCTTCCGCTGCTGCGGTTGCCGTCGCAGCTTCCTGGATCTTTTCTTCATCTTTCCTGTCTTTCAAAGCTTTGAGCAACTTCCACTTGCTACCCGCCGGTCCACTATCTTTGCACGCGGCATCTTCCTTGCCAATGTCGATTTTAAACCTTGGTATGGACGGTGTAGAGCTCTCGCCACCTTCTCGGAGGTAGCTTCCAGCCTCACATTCACCGTCTGCGTCTCCTTCCCACACGTCACTGGCTGGAACACTTATGGAACCTTCTCGTACGGTCGCCGTTTCCTCGGAATCCCAGCCGTCGCTAACTGGGATACTTATCGACATCTCACTTGGAGGAACACTTACTGATCCCTCCCTGCTTAGCGAGTCTGAGCCTTGAAGAGGCTTCTCTCCATGACGAAGAGTGGAGGCACTGGAACTCCTTACCGACCTCGTCAATTCCGCTTCCATTGCAGCTTCCTCTTCCTCGTCAACTTCCATTTCGTCCATACTCTGATGCGGACTGTCGGGACCACTCGTCTCTCCTGATGAGGACTCATCATCGTCTCTGATCCTCATAGCACTTTTCTTCTTTGGTTCTTCAGTCCCCGGTAAATGCGATGCTTCGTCGTTGAAGACAGAGTGGGGCTCGGCATGGTCATCGCCTCTGCCGTCCTGAATATCTTCCCACCGCATTACAGATCCCGTCGATCTTGTTCGCACCTGAAGGTTATAATCTTCTTCATCGAGCACCCCTTCAAGTTTTTTGGCTTTCAGCTTCAGCTCCTGAAGGACAAACGACATCTGCTCCTTCACTTCTTCATCCGGTTCGAAACTTTCAGTTTTGTCTCCTTGTATGGGTTCCGTGTCTTGTTGTCTTTCCAGTTCTTCCAACTTACGTAGCTCATAGCAGTACCATTCGTCTTCACTGTCTATGCTGTCTTCAGTGCTCTGTCTTCTGGAAGACACTCGGGATGTGCTTCTCCACGAGTGTATACTTCGGCTGTCCTCGTCACCCTCGCCTCTAGGTCCGCTCCAAGGAATTTCGAGACTCTGCTGATGGCGGGCTACGTGATGCCTCCCACTGGCATAGCTGCGCATACTTGAAACAGACGGACTTGTATTAATGTTTGGAGGTTCTTCCGCTCGAGAGTGTTGGTGTGGTGCACTAATATTTTCCGCTTCATCAATGATTGTCTCTATACAAGGTTCATCGTAAATGTCCTCTTGTATCTCTTCTTCTGCTGTAGCTATAAGAGGAATTTGATCATTAGTTTTAGTGGCAGAAATATCTTCTTGGCCCGTCTGTTCATCCGCAGATACGGTGGAAGATTGACGTTGACGGTATTTGCCTAAAGCTCGGGACACGGCAAATTCTCTAGATGCTCCACCAAGCGTAACTGGTGGAAACTGAAGTTTTTCACTTGCCGTTTCTTCACTGACTGTTGTAACTGCTTGGCTTGCTGCTCTCTTAACTTCACCCACTGTAGGGAAGAGAGAAGAAGGGTCCGCTTCCAGAAGGTTTGGTTGTGCAGGCTCTGTGTCATGTGGAAGGTCATTGACTTGATCCAGATCCGAGTCTCTTCTAGGTCCCAATTTTGCACTTGCTTGAGCCTGTTGCTGCTGCGAACCGTGTTGCCTCGGCATGCCGTGAGTAACTTTAGCGAATACACTGGTGTCAGTTGGAACATCAGAGAATACGCTATCTTCGCTGTCTTCAGAAAACCCGCTCTGTCGGCCGCTCCATTCGGTCTCTGACTGTTCCGGATCCGACAGTGATTGAGAGTGATGGCTGCGACGTTTTGCCTTCTGAAGGATTCCAGACACTGTAGATGCGAGTGGATTTTTCTTTTTCTTGCGAGGCAATGTGGTGGTAGAATGCGGCTGACATTTACCTCGAGGCGTAACGTATCCTCTCCCGTGCTCCTTGGAGAGCGCCAAGTCCTCACGTCGAACCCCGGCTGGCAAAGAATGGGAGCGATGTCGTTTGCTAAGGTGCAGTCCAGGTAACCAACTGCTCACAGAGCTCATTGCTGATTTTAATTTACCCCTTTTGCTCACCTTTTCGTCCTGAGGATAATTACTGTCTTTTATATCAGCAGAAATAGATATGTACCCCGACTGGGACACTATGACACCACTAGGATCATAGTATTGCCCGTCGTGTAATTGTGGCTGATGGTGATCTGGAGTATTACGTTTCCTCAGATCGAGTTCCAAGTATTGTATATCAGGACGCTGGCTCCAGGAGTATTCTCGAGGATAACGTTCGTCCTGTTCGCCACCTCTTTCCATCCCACTTTGCGGAACGTAATGCTGTTGCGATGGATGCTGTGCATAACGCCTTGGATCCGTGTAGTGAGATGCAATGTACCCGAATTCCCCAGTAGAAGCAGAAGCGCTGACTGGAGCAGATGTGTGATCGTATATCATTTGGTTCGCAACTGCAGTATCAATTTGGGCCTGAGAGCTATTTAACCACGCAGAACCGTGATTGTAATCGGTTCGTGGTTGGTTTCCGGACGGTGTCGTGTCGTAGCGCGTGCTTGTAGGGTAATAAGAGAGAGCGTCCGTAATATTTCCGGTAGGGAACATGGTGCGATACATGGCGGTTTTATAGCCCTCTAAGTTTGCAACTCCACTGCCACTGGGAGGAGCAGAGCCAGTAGAATGCCCTCTAGATAGGTTCTTCCTATTTGAATGAGCTGAGGCACTAGTTGCGGGGTAGCCACTAACAGAATGGCTTCGGGAAGTGATGCGTTCGGGCTCAGTTTGGTAGCGGTAAGTTTGTGCTTGGTGCTGTTCGTTGTTGCTACATGGCTCTACCAAATCTGGGTAACCGGATCCAGACGATTTGGGCACGTAACTTGCCATACCACTTGTGTAAACCGAAGTGAAAGATTGTTGCCTGTTACTCCCGGCAACTGAGTATATCGCTGGTTGTTCACTACGATAGAGGAAATCGCCGTAAGTTACTGAACACGTAATTTCAACGGCGTTAACTGTGTTGGTACTGGGGGACTTCGGAACACGATGAGGTCGTCCTCTTGGGCTGGCACTGAGTTCAGAGCTTGGTACAGGCGATGGTATGAGATTCCCTGTTGAGCTGTCACCTGCTATGGAAGGTGTACTGCTTCCCATACTCGTTGGCGACTTGACACTTGTGAATGCAGACTGATATTGTCCATCTGTTATATGAGAGTTTACTAGGGCTGGCGAAAGAGAAGGCAGAGAATGGGGAGCGATGTATGGGTAGGAATCGGACGCAGCAACAGAGTTGTAAGTGAGAATCTCTTGTGGCGATATGGAAGAAGAAGATAAGTGCATTTGTGGAACCATCGGCGATGCTGCAAGTAGCTGCTGATGTCCACGTCCAACGACGGAATCTGATGTGTATAAGGATGTCGGTGTCTTGTTGGCACTGCTTATAACACTCTTCGGAGACACTGGCGATTTCTCTACGCTGGACCAACCGCTCATGGAAGAAAGACCAGAATCGGATTTAGCAGTTCCAATAATAATGGACGTAGACTTATTTATATTCTTCGGAGACAGTCTTGGTGATTTGGGAGAGTGTGGGGTGCGAGGACTCAAGCGTCCTTGCTGTTCAGTCGACGGAGAAGTAATTGACGTAATACTAGTTGCTGAGGTACCCAGTAGGGCTGAAGGACTTTTGGCGATATTGGCACCGACAACAGCGTCGGCGGTGGGCATTAAGAAGGCTTCTCCATTGTCCCGAGGAGCTGGTGGCGGCGGGCTCGTTGGGGAAGGAGAAAGTGTGGATCGAGTTTCTGATAAATCTAGGTCTAATCTTCCACCTATATAACCGTCTTGTCTCGTACGTATGCTTGATCCCGATATTGTTGGTGGTGAATTTAAATTTTCAGAAGTCGCACCTACAAATGTGGCGGTTGATGCATGAGGAACTGACGCGTACGAAGCGGCCACTATATTCTGCAATTCCTGTTCACCAGTGTATTCAGAAGCGTAAGGGTTGAAATCGTAACGGCCAGTAAGAGTTTTGGGAGATGCCAAGCTGCACGATGAAGGTGTTATATCGGCTTGCAATAAGGCTGAGGAATTATAATTAAGTCTACCAGACGTTTGTGATGATAAAATTCCGGAATTATCCATACAATTAGACGACTCAAGAAGAACACGATGTCTTGGTGATGTAGTTGGTGATAAGGACGACCTAAACCCGGATAAAGCTGAAGCTACCTCAGAGTCTGTGGTGGCACCTCCGCTGTCTGTAGATAGTCGAGAACTAGGTCGGGACTTGCTACTGCTACTGAGGCCGCTTGGTAATGTCGTTGTACCTGCCAGTAATATCAACTCAGACAGACCGCGTGCAGAACTAGAAAGACTCCAATTTTCCAAGTCAGATTCTGCGTATATCTGACGTAGCTGCTCATCTATGACACTAGTTTCATCTGCGAGTGCTTTCGTAGTAGTAGATTCGCTTTCTCTAGCTTCGTTCCGGTACATATTTTGCGGAGATTCTAGTAGGCGGTCTTGTAGTTCTTTGAGATTCTGGGAGTCTTTCTGAAGCTTTGTTGTCAGTCTATCGAGTTCCTGAAGTTTCTCTAGCGCCACCTGATCTATTACACTCAATCTCGTTAGTTGAGCGAGATCTTGTTCATTAACACATGGAGAATTACCTCTATAGTCCTTATAGTCTAGCGCGCTGAATACTTCTTGCGTTTCATCGCGTTGTTCCACCCTCTCTAGACCTTCCATAGTCTCTTCCTTATTTGTGTTCTCTTCAACTTCTTCGGCTTCTTCCCAGATCATACCGAGCTGTGATGATGTTACGGTGGGTGCCACAGTTGATTCAGAGCCACCCAAATCATCACGATAGGCGTTGTTGAGACTGCGATAGAAGGCTTCGTCTGGCATGCGTATCATTTCGCTCATTCCCATCTCTATTTGCAGTTCAGAAATTATTGCAGCGGCACTCGACGATGATCCAGTGATATCAGCACTTGATACCTCTCCTACCACGTCACGTCCAGCCACGCTTGCTGCGGCTGCGTCTTCCATCAAATCCTTCATGGTTCGTTGCAGGTCATCTTCAGCTGTCTCGGTTGTTGTCCGCGTTCCTTCAGATGCTGAGACAACATCTGCGCGCTCCTCAGCCGCACTATCTGTTGTACCCATCACTGTATAGAATTCGAGAAGCTGGGCAATGACACTCTGCTGTTCGTAGAGGAGTATCTCCAACTTCTCTAGTCGCTCCCACATCTTGATATACTCTTGCGATAGGAGATCTAATGCTCGCCATGCGTATTTAAGCTCTGTCTCCAAGATGTTCAGCCTCGTACCCAGTCTCTCCATGTAGTCGCTGATGATTAAGTCGATGCTCTGGACGTAGTTCTGTTGTCCCAGCGTTGGTGACACCGGTGAGGCAGAGGTGGAACCTGCTTGTACGCTTTTCACTGAATCCATTTTGTTAACTGATGTTCTTAAAACTGGACATAAATTCGTATATATTTCATTTACACACTTTTAAACGTGTTTACTGTAGTTTTAACACCGATCCGCAACTTTCCGCTGACAAAATACTTAAACAATACACTTAGAATAAACCAGCAAGAGACTGAGCACCAAACACTTTTTTCTGCACTGATTTACAACACGTATTAGTTTACACACACGAGGAGTTGTGTCTGTTAAGCACTATAATTTAATTGCAATCGTTGTGCTGTGTAAGAGGAAATCGGGAGGTCGTGCGCGCTGGTGCAGTCTGCCACCCCGACCCATGTTCCATGTCACTATCACGTGCTCAAATTCATAAACAATAACATCTGTGAGACGGAATGTAATAGTCTTCCTTGTATTTCCATCGCCACAATTCAATAGCAATTCGTCGTTGAAAATTTCGTTGTTGAAAACCTGAAAAGAATAAAGCGTCACACACTATTCACGGACCATGCAATCAACATGGGTACAATATTCGAGTTCACAATGACAGGGGAAAAATATAGACATACCAAATGTGGACATGCACAATAAGATAGGCCAGTTGGTAAAAAAGCATAATAATTATTCCCATAAAAAGACATCAATCCATTTCGTAGATAGGCAAATAGATCACCTAAGAGTTAACAGCATTTGAACGACATAACATAAAATTATGTATATTGACGTGGTACGGCCCGATGTGTTCTTGTTTAATAAGTACAACATAATTCGCTGAGCAAATTGAAGCATCGTTTGAAAATAAGCCTATTAATAGAACTATAAAACTTGCGATTGTAACATGTTAATTCAATCTGTTGTGTATATTCATAAATGTACTGGGCGATGTAACTTACGTTAGTGGTGTTAGCATGCAACTTTGTAAATCGTTCATGTTTGGTTTGATAAAGCAGGCTTATAAAAGGATCATATAGTCAAAAGAGATAATTATAAAGCAAAAATGTAGCGTAGCCATTATAGGTACCGTATATAATTAATTATTTTACTAAAATAGCAGAGTTCAAAATATTTATACACAAAAACTTATGTTCGCGTATTATCCATCACATCTGAAATAGCGATCTCTGAAGAATGGAGATAATTGAAAATTGTAGTTAAGAACAAAATACAAATTATATTACAAGGATGTAGCATAAGTGTATAAATAGCTTTCAATGTCCGTCACGACCGTGTGCAAATGTTATGAATAGATTTTTATAACATTTGCCATGGTGACGCTGCTAAGCGGTTTTCGACCTAATGGAATACCTATAAGACTACATGTGCGTGTTATATCAATCTTAAATTGTTGTAGCCGTTGCCAAGGTAACGCTATTAAGGGAGTCTCGGCCTTACGATTTGCATTACTGAATATAAAAACATTGCCTACTGCGCTTGACTCTTATTTGTCATAAACCACAGTACTTTTCAGTGTTTGTAGTTCTTAATGGTAATTACTGTCATATGATTAGTCTATTAATTCCTTTAGAGGGTATAATGGAAGCCTGTAGACATTCAACCGGTTTACAGTTTAATTATATTAAACAAAAGAACAATTACATACGGGCCTCATTAATACATGATGCCTTACCAACGAATAAGGAATGACAAGAGAAATTTCGTTCCTTGTTCTGTGTACATTTTTATGCAATTATAGTATTTAAAAGCTCATTTTCTTATTGTAACAGCAGGATCGTTTTTGCTGTTAGAGGTACATAGAACTTGTCACACTATCAACAAAATGTCTTCTTACACTTTAATGTACCTATTAAACCTATTAATCATTTAAAGCCTAGTGATAACTATATGTACCATCCGTTTTAACAATCCATAATTCTACTGGTTTCCTACCATTCTCAGAATAAACAGCGATTATTTCCGTACAGAACAAAAATACGATCATTGTGATTGTAATGGCCTGTGATTTTTTAAAAATAAGGACTAGGCTTAAAACCACCCTGAATGAAGTTTTCCGTACTCTTCCTCAGTTGTAAGGATAACGCAGGGGTATAATTCAAAAGGGGTAAAGCTTGTCTAGCCACCCATCATGGAGGCCTTTACCCAAGATGATTTCCTACTTCCCAAAGGTGTACAGGCCTTCAACCAAAGCGATCCCAACCATTCTAGTTTCAACTCCCAAACATCCATCCAACCTCCCATCAGTAACAACAGCTCCAAGTCTAAATATGTCAAGGCCTTTAGCCAAGACAACAATCCCGACAGTAAGGCATTGTTTACTAATTACAACTATGCGTTTCGTACACAGGAATGATTTAACCGAGAAATGAACGAAGTACTGCCCATGTTCAAAACTTCGCCCTCAGTTTGGTTTGTTCGTCTTCAAAGGGTTAATTTTATTTTCAGAGTCTACATTTCTGGAGTTTGGTAATTGTATCTTATTATAAGGGTTACAATACAATCCTGTAAATTGGTCAATATAGGTATGTAATTATTAATTACAATCTTTGCCATGGCCAGGGAAAAATTACATCCAAGTCCCAATAATATTACAGAGTGTATGTCAAAATTTAACATGTTTTTGTGCAAAATTTTATACAAATCGTTTTAAAATTTAAAAATTTGTATCTATGGTGAAAACCCGTAGATGAGTTTCAAAAGCTGTAATGTACAATTAAATTTGAGTCTGAACTGCTTAATATTTAATTTCCCCGTTACTTATTTCTTTTGGCTGGACAGCCATGTTCATTTAATGTCTACGCAGATGTAATCGTAGTGCGCCTTATGTGCAGTTGATTAAGAAGGTTGTTTAGAAGCATAAAATTGAATGGAAGAGGATTGCATTGTCTCCATGCAGTTCACGTTTAAACTGCTCCCAACTGTGTTTCCTTCCAGATCGCAAGAACAGGGCTTCTGGCAACGAAAGCGCTGGTCGAAGTCCCTCAACACAGTCCCAAAGCCTCTCAAGTCCACATAAACTTTGTCTTGTTCTGAGAAGGTTTGCAAGTCCCTTGGAATTAATGGGAACGCGGTCGCAGCGTGAAGGAAATTGCTCCAATATTTTCTACTTTCCTGTTTTATCTACATTTTATAGCTAACACGTTAGGAAAAGGAATTTCATTTTCTGTATGTAAATTTATCTTTCTCGTGGGTAGGAATAATCTCTGTTTGGAGGCGCTGGTTGCAATGGGATTTAGAGAAACGTCTTACAGGATCTCCACAAGCTATCGGTGTCAACAATGTGAAGATAAATGCAAATACAAAAGGGACCCATCAATCTTGTTTATAATCCGGCTAACCCGAGCAACAAGCCTCGAAATTTTGCTGTTTTAACAGTTAGTGGCTTCAGATCACAGAAACACATTACACCTAAAAATTCTTTCTCATTAAATAAATAAATAAATAAATACCAATTGCATGTTTTCAGAACGAGAAGTTTGTACGCACGAAAACCAGCATACAGGCTCAGTAACTTGTTTGAAAACAGAGGGCAGCAGAGAGCTGTAAGTTCGGCCTGGTTTATTTGGGACTACTGTCTGATATTAAGCTGGAAAATATCGAGACGACGTTACAAGCAACACAGTTTTTGGGTTGCAGATTATGGATATTTATGTATATTAAGTTTCTTTCTGTGTAAGACGTTTATAAATTTAAGACGTGTAAGTAAGCTATACGAATACAAAACTCAATTAACTTCAGAATTCGATTTATTGTAATATTCTGAACAATGACGATTATTATGATGCTGATGATCATTCATTTCAATTTAATTTAATGTGCTAACACTCCAGTTACACGAGTCAATTACAGACGCAGTGCAAGAAAAGTAAACACAAAGAATAAAACAAGGCAACACACATGAAGTAAACATAGTAAATATCCTAGTACGCAGTACATAATAATTCTGAAGTCAGCAAAAACGGTAATCACCAAAAAAATTGATTAAATTTAAAAAATAATTGTCAAAAATGTTACATTTAGGCTTATTACAGTCTCAATGCCGGCTGAGGCGCAGCGAACATAAAGAAAATTAACTGTAGAGAGTATTAAAGTATTTTATGTTTCTATTTGCAACTCTGAAACCAACAGTTTCATAAAGTTGAAAACAGGTAAAACATGAACTTAAAGATATAACAGTACTATGGAATTAAGGGGTAGAGACCGAGGGGTTCTAGTCAACACGGAAGGAATAATAATTAAAACAAAAATATAATTTTCTTACTGCAAACTATACTAATACCACCAGACAGGACTACAATGCAGAAGGAGACAAAAATAAATTAAAATAGGAAAATCTGAGTATTGAAATTCAGGGAAATACGTCTGTCGCACCGGTAATAATTGGAGCCATGGAAATTCTAACTAAAAGACTAAACATATCTATAAACAATACAAGATAGCATTCAACAGATACTCTATAGAACACGCCGGGCTAGAACATTACACATTACGAGAAAACTGCTGATATCCGAAACTCGAAGCCTGAGCGGGGAGTTAACCACTGGACCAAGAGGAAAAGTACCAGAAAAAGGGGGAAAATAATAATAATAATTATGAAAAAGGCAGTGTGGAACATAAAATACCGTTCCAATTTAGACTAAATGTTGTATACTATACCAATTCATACGTGTCAGAAAATATTATCTCCCAGTGTGAATTTTCCTTTTGCACAAAAGCCATGTTAAAATCAACTCTGCCACCTGAAATCCCCATTCGATTTTACATAATCAGCTTAACTGTTAGGAAATTGCACTGTGTTTACAATAATAACCTTAATGTAGCATCCGTATGAACTTGGCATCTAACATTACGACACGAAAATAGACCGAGGATGTCCGGGAAAATGGTTTTCAGGAGAAGAGTTTGAACGTCGTAAGGTGAAAGTAGAAGAAAGCTGGAAGAACTGAATAATAAGAAGCCTCTTAAACAAATATCATTTGGGTATTCGAATCAAGAAAAACTGAATCGAGGAAACACGTAGGAATTATTGGGAAAATGAAAAATGCACACAGAATCTTGATCGAAAAACCTGAAGGGAAGACCAAAACGTGGATGGAAGGAGAGAATCAAAATGGATCTTACAGAAGTAAAGTGTAACGAATGTGGAATGAATTAATCTGGATTGGATGGGGACCAGTGGCGGGCTTTTAGGAACGTAGGTGATCTTCAGAATCCACAAAATGCAGGGAAATTTCTTTACTACATGATCGATGTTTAGCGTCTCAAAAAGAACGTTGTTTAGTTAGCTATAAATCTACCTTTAAATAAAGCGGCAATTAATATAATGTATAAACTAAGAAATCGATTATTTCAGATTTAATAAATTAATCCAGATTTAAATATTTATTAATAATGATGAACTGAACTAAAATTGTATTCAGGAAAATATCGCCACGTCCGCTCACTTACTTCAATACAGTTTTCAATTAATTACTAAACCTATCATTAAATGCTAAGTAGTTTGAACTAATGACATTGTTGTTAAACAGGCCGTAAATAAATACAACAAATCCGTGGACGGTAGTAAGATCAATTCCATTTTATAACTTTATAAAAACACTATCCCTACACATATACTCTAGTCCGTCCTGACAAAAATAAGAACTTTATCCTTAAATCCGATGCGAGTGTACTACCTGCAGTATTAACTAGTCAGCGGAACTAAGAAGACAATAATACAAATTTGAATTCCGACCACGAATCGATATGAGTCTGGTCTGATGGACTGAGTAAATGTGAACTGAGGGGTGAAGGGTCGGTTGTCTACGCCCTGTGTCTTTACTTTATTGGAAAACCAGCGTCAATAAAGGGCATAAACGGAAGTGTGGGTACATAGCCAGAGCACGGGGTAGGAGGTGGGCAACTTAAACAATTTATCAAGAACTCAGTCGCTTCTGCCCAAAATCAATTTTCTACACACACCGTCCGTTCAGAGTTCCAATTCTGTCTTCGTGCAAATTTCAATGGTATAAAAGTTAGTAGGTGCCTTCTGAATGGTTATTAGAACATAATCAATTATATTGTTTGCTCAGTATATTTTAATTATATTCAACGTAGTATTATAGCAAAACGAGTGCAGGTAATTAACTTCCTGACTCAATCTCATTAGTTCAAGACACGTGTATGACAAATTATGGGAAGAAATTATTTTCATATACGAAAAATTCGAATGATAGAATATAAACATTTAATTACTGCATTAAGAAATTCCAAACTCATTCCGATGCATGCTACTATAAAACAATAAGTTATCACTAAGCATAATGTGTATATTATTTATTGGTTCGTTTTAAGAGGAAACGCAGAATGAATTTTCCAGCAATATTTTTGCTGACTGTTGCACCGTCTAAGTTTCATTAGGCATAAAACTGACATTCCTTCTTATTGTTTCCACTGCAATGGGGTCGAGACTATGTCTCTGTGAAACTGGACCTCAACGAGACCTTTGTTCATATCCGAGATGATAAATGCGTGAAATGAAGCAGCAGCGGAATAATACCGCCGGGAACAGCAAAGGACTCGAGGACATAAGCTGTCCCAGTGCCACTTTGTCCACTTCAAATCCCAAATGGTACTAATCTGGATGCGAACACAGACCCCTGATCTACGGAACGACCGGCGTTACTTCTCACACTGATCGATTCATCGATTCGTGTCCAGTATCATCGTTCTGGGTAAAAAAAAATCCCTACACACACACAATCCATTATATAACTCTTTTATTTTACCGGCAGTACATATAACTAGACATTAATCCAACTTACTTGCCTCTCATCCTATAGGAAGAACGTAGACTAAGGGTTTTTCAGAACAGGGAGTTGAAAAAATATTTGGATAATATAAAAGTAGAGAAATATGATCTGGGGATGTTGGCTGGATTGATCTGGATTATGGCACACTTCAATAGCGGGCTGTTGCAAACACGGCAATAAACTTCTGAGCACTATAAAAAGTGCAACACTTGTTAATCATGTGGGCCACTCCACCAACAGCCTCTCAAGGATGACTCCTGTCCATGGAGTTAGTTTTAAAGCACAGTTGTATTACTTGCTTTGAAGAGACTATTCCATTTGTTACGGTAGAATTCAGAAGTAAAATTAAGGTGTAATAATGCACTAGCCGACTTCACTGGCTCCCTTTCGTTTTAGATTACTAACGTCATAAGGTTTTACAGCAGATTTCTCGCAATTCTATCACCTCTTCTGCCCTTCATTCTACTACGTATCCATTACTCAGTGCCGCCAACTTATGCTGAGCTAACGTAACAGATGACAGCGTCAATCATCCAGTCTAATAACCAATCGATTATTCCATCAGCCAGATGGTTGTTCAGTCAATTAACCCATCTGTTTTAATAATCGCTACTTTTAAGGATTTTATAATTTTATCCTATCATACAGTAAGAACAGCTTAAAAAGGATACTGTGAAGTCATACAACGTCTGTTGCGTGCTTTTCCCTTGTATTTTGCAATAATTTGTAACTTTTCTTTTGGACATCAAAACAATTCAAACTATCACTTCAACGTTACCTTGTATTTTCCTAAAATAAATCTAATCTGTATTTTGAATT